CAACTATTTTTGGATGATAAACATTTGTATCTGGTCAACTTTTATTATTTATTATTCTACATTTATACATTTTAGGCAACTAAGGCAAAAATGTAATTAATTTAGAAATTTTTTTCAGGACCCCACCTTGATGTTTCAGGACCCCACTTTGGGTCCCGACCCCAACTTTGGGAACCACTGCCTTATAGCACCAAGTTTTCATTTTATCATGTTTTCAGGACTGAGTCACAGACAAAAAGCAGGGATTCAAAACCAGTATCAAATAACACATTGGGCTTTATTTACTTTTAATTTTTTTTAACATCCATCCATCAATTTTCTAAACCCGTTTCTTCCTTTCAGGGTCTGGAAAACGAAACGAAGCAGACATGTTTTTTTTAACATGTCTGCTTGTTTTGCGTGTCTGTGACATCATGCGTAAAATCACTCCATACATACATATTCTTTGGTTTTATTCCTGATTGCACAGGTAAAGGTTTGTGATACTCAGACACGGGCGTAACTTTGTGCTGAAAGTTGGTGGGGACGCACCGTGGGGGACGGGGTCTGACGCACCCACAGTTGTGCGACCAGGGTTTTCTGTTGTTCATGTCTTCAGTGTGTGCTCAGTTTAACTGTCTGCACCCATCAACAACTGAACACCAAATGTTTCTGTTGTGATGCAATAATACTCAAACCATTTTAACTGATATTATGTTCACCATCATTCAGCCGTGTACTGTACCAGTCCTTACCAGTCCTTTAGACTCACTGAGAATACAGTTTGACAATCAGCCATAGTTTCATACAGAGACACACAGGTGGAGCACAGGTGTGTTGCTTTATCCTCTCACATACAGTAAGTCTTATATGTGTGTAAAGGACACACTGGAGGGGGGTCTGGGGGTCCTCCCCCAAAACATTTTGAATAATGATGAGAAATAATGAGTGTTGAATAAAATTTTGAATAAATTAGAAGCTTTCCCTGATTTCTAATGTATTTTAACAGGTTGTTAAAGATACTTTTACCTACATAAATAAAGACCTGATTTAATGACTGGAGACAGATTCATTAAACTAGTTGCATCGTCCTGTTTTTAAATTCATTTATAACTCAGATAATTAAATTAATGKGACAAATTATCCCAAACAAGCTTAGAGGAGGTTTTTACATTTATTTATAAGATCGATATGTGGATGTTTGGAACTGATTAGAAAGCTAATGATGGATGATTGACATTTATTTACTGACCTTTATTTAACTGGGAAAATTCCAATTATGAAAACTAATTTCTACAACTTCCTACAAATAAAAGTTAAATAAGCCTATCACTTTTATACTGGTCAAAATAAACTGTTAATCATGCTGTAAATTATGTCTTTATATCAGTAATTTATTTCATTAAGTTCACACAGCTGACTAGAATGTACTCAAAATAACATTTTATATTTCCTTCACGCCTGCCCATCACCTTCATCTCTTACCTGAGACCCTCTGT